CTTTCCCTTGCAGGGGACTGATTGACAGTTAGGTATTTTCTAGTGTTTGCGGGGGTGGGGGTGCTTTCTTTCAATGAGATGGAGGTAGTGAATGCTGAAATAACAGAGCCCACTTTGGTAATTAATTCCTCTCCTGTCAAACCTTTTTTCTTTTATTCTCAGGATAAAACATACTTGTATTTTTCCATTGAGTTACTTATTTTTAGACTCAAGTAGTTTTTAATTTCTTTGTTATAAAATATTCCTTTATGAAACCTGTCATGGTAGAATCCAGAGAAAATAATATGTGTTTGGCAAAGTATGACAAATGTTTGGAGGTTACAAGTTAAAACTGTTCTTTAAAATTAATGTTCCAATGCCTCTCATTTGGCCCAAGATTCTGACATATAAATTGGTTCAGCTAGGCATTTTTAAGCTTCTATAAAAGGCCATTGGTATGTATATTATCAATAACAGATACGGACAAGTGTCATTTACAGATTCATTAACTCCATCTCACACATGTCCTCTACTCTTTGTTCTCTCCTACCCACTATGTTAATTTAGGAAAGAGATCATAGCAGCCAAAACTGTAAAAGTAGATGGAGAAGTGCCTTTTCTGAACTAAGATGACATAGTATGCTGAAGGAAGCAGAATGAATGAATAGGTGCACCATTAGTTTAGAAATTGTCTTTTTCAACTAATATAAAGAAATTTCACTAGTATATTGTATTTGTTTTATTATACAAGGCCTATTATCTTGTTTTTCCCCAAACATGTGACATATTAGTGATAAAATATTACAGAATGGGACTATTAGTTGCTTAAAAATTAGTGTAATTCTAATGCTTATAAATGTGTGATTTAACATGGTTATGAAAGGACATGGGCCTTTGGTTGAAACCCTACCAGAATCCACTTAAGTATTTAATGTACATACTAGTATTATTATGACCTGTAAACACTAATGTCTGAACAGTTAATCACCCCCTGTTAATATATAATCACTGTGCCATTTTTAAGGAAACTTATTCTTGTTTTTTGACAATTTGAGTAGTTCAGTAACATTTATAAGCCTTTAAACAAGTAAGAATTTTTTCAAATGTACCAGAGCTTTAAAAAATCATTACCATTTTTTTGTTTACAAATAAGCTGCCACTTTAAAAAAAATCAAACCTCTCTACTTGAACATGAAGCCCCCAAAACAATGTTAGAATTTACTATGTTGACCTATGAGTATATAGTAATTATATTCATCTAGTTAATTGGAGCAGATTCATATAGTGGAAATATATTTTGCTAATTTGATTATAAGTGCTTAAGTTCACTGAGCACTGGGTCCTCTAGGACTATAAAAGTTTGCTTTAAAAAACTATTTTACAATTGTAAACTTTAAATGGTCAACTGTCAAGAAATTATCCACAGGGAACCAGCAGTTAGTGTAATGGCTATGTCGCTGGACTCCCACGTAGTCAACCGCAATTTGCATCCCGGACCTGGTGGCTTAAAACTCACGCCGGGCATGTGTGTGTGCGTGCCCAAGATCCCGAGAGGAGAATGGAGGAGAAGGGATTGCGGCATGACCATCCCCCCGGGAGGTGATTTCTCACTTTCTGTCTCTATGTCTCTGTCTGTAATATTTGTTATTTGGGCTAAAAATAATGGAAGGATATACATGTAAAAATTACACATGACCTTATCTTGCCCCAGAATTTCCTTACCTGATTCTGAGTCAGCCATCTTATTTTGATAATGACAACCTGATATTCCATTCCATCCTGATATTCCACAGAAAATAATTCCATTTTCTGTGGGCTTTGACAGATTCATACTATATGAGGAAACAATCTAATATTGTGGGCCCCTGGCGAGTCACCTAAATTGCATGTTAGTCTCTTCATCACTAAAATTATGGAGTCGAACCTAGAACTGGAGATGAAACTAGATATGACCAAATATTCTTTGATTCTAGGAATACTTAGAAAATTTGTATTCTACAGAATCTCACAATGATTATTCTCAACTACCTTTGGCAGGAACTTCTCACAGTGCTTTACACACAGTAAAAGTTTGAGTTTCTGACTTGGCTCGTATGTGTTAATATCACACAAACTGAACCTGATTCCTGCTAGTCCTTAGTCTCTATGAGACTAAGAGTAAATGTAGTTTCTCTAGGAATTGAAGGAAGACTGAGGTCTGTGTGCTCTGCCTGTGTGGAATTTGACTATACATTTGGTATCCTGGCAAGCATTATAGCTTGTGACAACAGCAAAGATATTGTAGGACCCACTTTGACATTTATGTGAAGAGTTTTATATCCTATCCAATATCTGGTTCAGTGTCTTATCAAGTTCCATACCCTCAGAAAGATCTGTTTGAACCAATTGATAGAATTAGGTGAAAAGTAAAGTAGTATGGCATTCAAACCCAAGTCATTTCTGGTTTAATTTTTAACTTTGTTGCTTAATTCCTCTGTACCTCATGTCCTCATTGTTGAAGTGGGGACAATAATCTGGGCCTACCTCACAGAGGAATTGAGGGTTGTTTTTATATATTAGTGTGCTTTGAAGTTGACTGAAAGATATACTAGGTATCATAATTGTGTAATTTCTTAATAGATTCCTTTAAATTCATGTTGTTATGTTTTATTTCTCAGATCCTACAGAATGAATATTGCAGATGACCTCTCTTATTATTAGTAAATTTTGTTATTAATCCCCTGTATGTTAAAAATTAGTAATTTTGTTATATTAATACTTGACTTATGGAGGAAAAGCAGGTGGGTGTAAACTGGTGGTTTCCAATTTGTAGCAGATGAAGATTAGAAATGGGGGTTATCCTTGAGCATTTTCAACATTTCAGAGCAAACTAAATCATATATTTATCCATAATATTCCGACTATACAAGCCAATTAAGACACTGAGTTTTCTTGTATTTTGCTTATTTTTTTTAATTCTGTTTGTTAACACTGCTTATTGATAATAATTAGAAGTTGTGAATGGAAGTAATAAAAAATGAGAAAGTTTATTATTTTATGTAATTTAGTAAATACTTGAAAACATGGGGAAGGAATAATGAAGGGATCGTTTTGTTAGGGCGAAAATGTTGAGAGTCACTTTTATAAAGGGACTGAGATTATTTGACCCTCTCCACGGATTGCTTTCCTAGTTCCTAAATAATGTAATGCTAGATTACATGTGTATGTTTGTATTTGTTTTGGCTAGATTGGGCTGTATAACTTCAGGCTAGAATTTGCGTTCAGTTTTCTTCTGTTTCAGGATGATCTAGTTGAGCTTATTTAGGTGTGCACATGTAATACATACATACACACATAGGATTGCAAATGTGTAAAGTGTTATGTTCTAACATTGGTCTAAATATCAATTTCTGAGTCTCTTAAAGTGGGTCTGTATATAAACTCAACATGATAAGTCAATTTCTGGAATATTCCTTCATCTCTGCTTTTTTCTCTTTACTTTTTTTTTTTTGCTTTTATCTTGGCTTAATTTTCTTAGTTTTCCATTTTTGTAGTAAGTAACTAGTATAATTGTTTTAATGCCTTGACTTTTAAACAAATTACAAATGTTTGAAATTATATAACCTACAAACTAGTTTGCTGTCCTTGGACTAACTACATATATGTATGAGGCTTGGCTATAAGAACAGGACATCTAGGTAACTAGAAAAGAGGTATTGATCAAAGCATCTGGTTGAGAAACCTAGGTTTTCTACTTTGTTGGCAGAGGATTCCTGTTGGGACATCTTTACCAGAAAAGAATAATAGTGTATATGTCCATTCAAATCAAGAACGTTCATGCATCTTGTATTGTTACATAGCCTGTGGAATGAATTCCTTTTTCTCCCTTAAGTCCAGGAATGACTCCCCAGGAAGAATTCAACCTATATACAGCTGTGCCAAAATGAAAGATACCTGCCTTTCTGAAATTTTCACTGCTGCTTCTGTCATTGTTCACTTGTCAGATAAAATTTTATTCTCAGGATGCAAAATTATAATAAAGTACAAATCAATTAATTAACTATGGCTTTTTGGTGAATCTTTCTTCCCTATGTTTTCATCATTATAAGGTAATCACTTAAGGCATTCTTTAAAGATTATATTCTGCATATTGTCCCTTCCCTTCTTTGTTAGTATTATTTCTGATCCTATAATTAGTCCATGATAAATATTGGCTTTGAGGGCCTTTGTTTAGCTCAGTATTTGACATTTGGTTAAATAGAAAGTGTTTGTTTCGTTTTTTATGAAAGACTATATTCATCCTGCATGTCTACCTGTGAACTGTGAACTGGAATTAAAGGAAAGGCCCAGCTGCTATGGCACAGTTGTGACACTGTTGCCTGCAGTGTAGGAAACCATATGGCAACCATGATTTGGGTCCTTGATTCCTGAGTCATCCTGAAAAACACGCTGGAAGTAAACGGGTGCCCACAATCCTGAGGAGTTGGTGGGCTGAAGAAAGAAGATTGTGATGTGAGGAGACCCAATCAAGGATGCTCTCTCATGCACATGTGCTATCATAAAGATTTTAAAAAGTAGTACAAGCACAGTGCCACCTTACTAAGCATAAATTTGTAGTACAAGGACTGTGGAAATGTGAAGCTGCTCAGTAAAAGTTTGACCATTTTTGTTAGATTGTATAAGAAATTCAAGTGTTGGGCTGCACCATAGCTCAGTGATCAAGCACTGTACATACAAAGCCATATCCCACATGGTCAACCATTGTTCAAATCCCACCCCCAGTGGCTTAAAAACCTTGCCAGATTCAGGTGCCTGCGTGTCAAAATTCCTGACAGGGTGGAGAAATGGAAGAAAAAGGATTGTGGCATGACCACACCCTTTTGGGGCAGGGCTTGCCCTGTCTGTCTGGTGGGTGTGCACATCCTCTGGAAATTTAAAAAACCCAAGTGTTAACATCTACATTAGTTACTACTCAAACTGACTACCATGCAATAATATTAGATTTTATTTAAATTTTATTTATTCAGTCAGTCATTGTACATCAATACAGTATACAAAGTGAGATTTTCCATCTAGAATACCTTGTATGTTGGCTCAATCAAGGATATTATCATACATGTTATCAACAAATAATTTTCTATTTCTTGTTTCTTATATATTTTGCTTCCCTCCCCTTGATTCCCTACCTCTTACCCTCTGCCAATTTTTCCCTTATCCCACAGCAATTGGTATCTACAGTTGTTATCCATGCCTTTTTTTCACATTTTGTTAATCCACTAAAGATATTAATTAAGTTAAAAACTTTCAATAGCAAGCACAGCTGATATATGCATATCTATGGATACATGTCTGACTTTAGGCGTAAACCTCAGTGAGTAAAGTGAACATACTATAAAGTAGTACCCCACTGTGGCTATATAGCTTACTGCAGTCAGTAAATAGGCATTAATAGGTATTTCTTAATGCATTGTTTAATTTCAAGAAAAATAATTTTAGTTTTAATAGATCAAAATAAAAAAAGAGAAATATGGTTAAAACTTAAAGCCAGGAAAAAGGTTAGGATTCAGTTCAAACAGTAAGTAGATGGACCTATCAGCAGTTCAAGGGAAGACAAAAGTCCTTACATATGGAAATCAGAGCATCAGAAAAAAATCAGTAATGTTTTAGTCGAAAGTCAAAAAAAATTTTTTATCTTGCCTTTTCTTTTTTTACATTTTTTATTTTATTTTACACATTCAATCATATTATTTAGCTTACAAAGTGAATATTTCATTAGGTGAACATTTCTCCCTAGTCCAGTTGATAAAACTATAAAATATCTTCAGATAATACCACATTTCTTTGTCCCAATAATATTAGATTTTAAAATTTTTCAAATTTGTCAAAAATATAAAAATACGTAATAAAGACTGGTTCATAATTTCCAATATCTTTGGTAATTAAAATTAATACTTCAAAAATATATTAACGTTAAAGCATCAATGACACTTAAAATTATGTAGAAGTTTCATAATTTTGAATTTTTTTTTTTTTGCTTGCTATAGGATGCGTGCGCTCGCCAGAGAGAGACAGAGAGACAGAAAGCGAGAAATCACACCCCGGGGGGGGTGGCCCCACC